ATTAGGGCATCAATGCACATGGATTGAGCATGACCAATGTTCAGTGTAATACTGCCTGGTCCACGGCAGGGTTACAGCCTTACTGTCGGCAGTTAGGACTTTTGTCGCCAATGGCAGCATGCACATTTTCTCACCAATGTCCATGAGCAGCCAGTGTGAACTAGGGCCGTACACTTCTTTCCATCTACAAACACCTCAATAATAGGCAGCACCTTGTTTTTTATTTGCTTTGGAAGAAGACTGCCACTGACATCTGTTCCCCGGAGCTGTTTTCCCTGGCACTCCGATGAGATGTGAACGACCCCATTACACCAAGAACAACGTAATCTTCATGACCAGGTGGCTGTCCTCTCTAAGTAACCTTGCTGTTGATTCAGTGGAAGGCAGTCCTTGTTATTATGAGATTTATGACAACTTCCTTTCAGTCTTTTAACACCTTGTTATAGCTACCATCCCCCAACTAGGCTTACCACTTTCTCAGAGTATTCCAATTTGTCCAACAAGACCATAACATTGCCTTTATCAGCTAGCAGTATGATGATACTAATGTCACAATCTTTCTTCTCTTGTGATATTGGATTTAGGTGGCTTTGTCTTTTCTATTGCTTGTCTAATTTTCTTAACTCATCTGTTTGGGCCTTTGGGATCTTTAAGGCAATCTCCTCAACTGGAGTTATCATGTCTAAGTATGGAACATGCCTGATGGTTGTAGTGGATTGAGACCCTTATTTAGCACTGATTCTTCAGGGGCATTCAACTGTCAATTCCTGATATTAGTGACTATTCTTACCAAACTATGGTGTGTATGGGTGGGGGTAGTCTTGTTACTATTCTGACTTTGTTCTATCATCTGTGAATAATTTGCATATTTAGTCTTGAGTCTTTGAAATTCTTAATTGTATGACTTATTAGATTTTGATTTGATACTACTAAATAATATCCCAGTCTGTCTGGAGAATTCATCTTCTGGCTAATGTTTCCTCCAGTAGTTATAGAGAATCCTTTCATTCATTAAGGGCATGCATTAATCTTTCCACTACCCTTTATGCTTTATTGCTGGAACTGGCTTGAGGGCTCTACAATTATATAGGAATGTCATGTGATTTGACATCCATGCAAATTTTTGGTGGATTTTTTCCATTTGATTATCACATCAGGTGCATACTGATTTGATAATTTCTGTTTGGATTTCTCAGACAAGAATTCATCATTATTTATATATGGACTATTGTCCTTATCTTTGTTGTTGTTATGACTACCAGATTTCAGCAGGTGTATGTTAATCCAGATTACAAGGAAATTTTAGCTGAATCCTTGTTTTAATCTACAAGAGTAGACTGACATCTGTCTATATTACTGAAATGAGGTATTGTAACTATTTACACTATTTACATTGTTCTAACTGTTGTCCTTGTCTTTATTGCCATACAAGTCCTCTCTCCACATTGTCCCCTTCTGCTATCTCAAAATTGTCATTAAGACCTCTGATAAAAAATTAAAAGCTAAGCAGTGTCCTTTATGCCATTACTTTCATTCAGTGCCAAGGAATATAATGTAAATGACTCCACTTTTTTGTTTAGCTTGCTAGCTAAGTCTTCGTCAATTAGTTACCTTTGTGCTTGATTCTTGGATGGTAGTTTGTCAGATAAAGGTGTTTTGCTGATCATGCAAAGTAGCTGCCAGCATCTGAGTGGTAGTCGTCCATTTTTGCGTTAACTGGTTGTTAGTGTAATTATCATGCTTGGAGGAAAAGTGATGGTTGATGTCGTATTCCTTTAAAACTGCAATGGTTTCTTGTTGCAGATGGGTTCAAGGGATTGAATCAGCACCACGGTTTTGCTCCGTTTCTTTTTTTTTTTTTTTTCTTTGTCAATCTCCACCAGATGCATCATGACAGTGTAGCACTGCCTTGCAAGGAAGTCGTATTCACATGATAATCCTGAATGTACACAAGACCATGAGATCCCACAATAAAACAACAACAACAAACCACTTACTTTGATTCTCTGAAATGGAAGAACTGTTCGTCTTGCCATCTATCCAATTTTCTGCTTCTACCATGCTTAAGTTTGCTAGTCAGTCACCCTTTGATCAATTGCCTGTTGATCTGGTGTCACTGCTTATGACGTAATGTTTATGTGAATTTGTGATCAGTTATATATGACCTGTGTAGTGTTTTATTTAGAAAGGGGCAGAAGTGTTGATTCTGTTTTGAATTTTCTGTCTGGTGCAATCTGCTCTGTTGAGCTTGATGCGATTTAGCAACGGCTCCATCAAAAATAGAACTGCTATGGATTTGATTGTGCTGCAGTGCAGAGAGACGCTACTGGGACATAATATTAGTGGCAGTGATCAGCTCTGGTGACCACAGCATAGCTGTTCTGTGGTGCTTGGAAATAAGGTGACTGTGTCACCTAGTGAAATGCCAGGCATTACAGGACAAGTTCAAATGAATGCAGTCATAATTCTGTTAATCTTTGGCAGGCTGGATTAAAAAAACCAAGAGGCCAAATGTGCCAATGGGCTGTAGTTTGCCCACCCCTACCTTAGGGGCATCAGTGAGTGAATTTTTTGGACTTATAAACCTAATGTCTCAGTAAACATTTTTTTTACCAGAGCTCATATTAAAATTTAGAACAGTCGGGGTAGATTGTTCTAAATTGTAATATGAGCTCTGATTAAAAAAAAAATTATAGACTAAATAAAGGATTTGGCTCAAAATTCCAGCATATATCACCTGAAGTAGGCTAGAGCGTACAATGGCTGAAACATCATGAATATGGCAATAAAGATGAGGACAATTGTCTGAACAATATAAATAGTGAAATGGTCAAAGTCTGACAATTATTTTAAGACATTTTTATGTTTATATGTTCTTTTTTTATTGATTCAAATATTTAAGTAAATGCTCTGTTTAAAAAGAGTAAACAATGGTAAAAATGCACATATTTTGGATACTTATCCCTTTATAGTAAATTTAAAACCAAAGTATTTAAAATTCATTAATAAAACGTTACAGAGAATATTTTCCTAATTTTTTAAGATTAATTACGGAGTATTTAAAAATTATATAAAAAAGATGCTCACATTATATTCGTCAATTATTTTTTACAGATATATCCAATATTATTAATATTCCTCAATTAAAGTTTCTGAAAAGTATATTTTACTTTTTGAAAATTTTTTAATAAAAAGGATTACATTCTGATGAAAGATATTTAAAAATGGTGCTAAAATCAACAATTTCAAAATGAATAATTCTTCCAGTCAAATTAAATTAGTCTTGAAATAAAGCAAATATTTTTTTCCTTATCAGAATTATTAAGTTTGGAATTATAACTAAAATAAAAGCTTTAATAAGGATTTCCCCTTTTTAAAACTTCATTTTCTGTGGTGGTCAGTCAGTTATGTGCCATGTGTGATACACGCTTAGGCGATCATGTATCTTTCGATATATGACTGATGAGGCAGATTTTTTTCCTGCAGTAGGTTACCATTTCTTTCTGCAGTAGACCAGTTGCCATCCAAGGCTATAGAACATGGTTTGTCCTGCTATTTAGCCATAGCTGGGTGGAGAAGATGAGGATTCATACCTTTCCCAAGGGTATTAGTACATAAGTGAATGTAATGGATTCGACTGGAATTCAATCCGAGCAGCTATCCATTACTCCACCGTGCCTCCTGTGGAGGTACATTTTAAAAAAAAAAGGTATTTAAGAAAATTTAAAACCAATATTAAACCGCATTTAATTTTTTGAAATGTAGAAATATAATTTGAATTGAACAATTAATTGCATTTACCAACTTAAGAGAAATCAAATCGATTGGAAATTTAATCAGAAAATAAAACTAGAATATTGTTTTGTTTCTATTCAAATGTTTTTAATTACTTTTTATTTTAATAAAATATTCTGTAGACTTACTCGTGAAAAAAAATCATTGATATTTTTTAAAAAGATTTTTTTGTTTTATTCTTGTGGAAAGAAGTCGGAATTCTTGTTTTTAATTGAGAAAATATAAACGTTTAACAAGGAAATTTCAACATGTGTTTTTTACCGCCACAAATAATCAGTGAAGAAATATACCTATTTTAATCATATCTTGTATGCAAGCGCAAGGAGGGTCATTCTCCTGCTTTCTTTTTAACCAATTTTTATACAGTAAAAAAATAAAAAGGCAGAAAACGGTGAATGATGTTATTTTGTTCCCAACTAAACTAATTCCATAAAATTCTGTCATTAAAAAGAAATAAGAAATAGCAAATATTTTTATATTATCATCCTTAATAAACGTTTACATTAAAAATGTATAAATAAACTTTGGTTTCTCTAAATGAAGCGAAATGTATTTTGTGTATTTCTTTCTAAAGTATTTTAAAGTTCGCGCGATTGTGCCAAATGTTTTCTTTTTTTCAGTGAGAAAGCTTTCTGGGGAAACACCGCTGTAATATTTAGAGTCGAAATAAAAAAAAAAAATCTGGGTAGTGATCTTGATCTTAAGTATGCACAAAGATAATGTCGAAAACATGGAAACTGCTTCATTATCATAAAGTAAATATAAACCAGTAAAATTAATTGCACTTTAATACACAAATAAACTGCTGTGCAATAGACAATAATAAGTCTGACTCCGAAAGAAAAACTTAAGTGACCATACAGATTAGGTTTTAAAGACCGTTTTTATCAGATTATGAAACGTTTTACATCTTTTTAAAGAGAATTGTAAAACATCTTACTTTAAATACATTTACATCTTTGATATTTCCATCGATATAAACAAAAGATCTCGTTCTCGAGTAGTTCGGTGTACTGTAACGATGACAAAGCAAAATGCGAATCCTATCATGAACATCGACAAATTAAAGGAAAAAGAAGTAATTTTAAAATATTATTTTATCTGGAACTTAAGATAGTAACGAAAATTTTATAAATATGTTTTTTACAATTAAAGTTTTCCAGAAAAACCTTGATAGGTTACAAAAATTTGTTAATAGCACTCACCATAATGTAGGCCTGACGTAGAAGTTGAGATGGATAGCTACTTCCGGTTCCGAGTCGTGACGTCATCAAACAAGCGAAGGAGTGGGGGTTAATTAAAGCAGTTTACTTTTCTCCTTAACAGGCGTGACTTACGTTTATCTAAATGGCAAGTGTGCATTTTTAGACCATTTTCCGACTGTTCGGAAAACAAAAAACAAAATAAAATTTCTTAGCCTCCAAAGAAGTCACTGTACGCATGTTCTCTTGACTCGGACAATCTTTTACTGAAAAGAGTGCGCGCAGTATCTGTTAATTTTCCCGCATAAATGGATTTTTATTAAAAAGAAAGAGAAAAAGAAGTTTGTTGCTTGTTCTCGCCTAAAAACTTTTTAAGCGTGTGCGCTTCAACAGAAGAAAGTTAACAACTTTTGAACTCTCATTGATTGTTTTTTTTTTTTTCTGTGTATGGACGGCATGATGGTATTTTAAAAAGAAAAAAATATCGTTGAGAATTTATTTCAAACCGTAAAAAAGTTTTAAATATTTTTTCATATTAACTTACTTTTTGCGACGATATTTAAAAATAAAACTTTTGTGGACACTTACACAACTCTGACAATGTTCAAGTCTAAGTGTGACTGTCGTTCATGGAATTTACACTTTTGGAACACTGTTTTTACAAAATTATTATTGATTTTACCAGTTGTGACCATTTCATATGCTGAAAATTCGAGCGGTAAGTACAGAGAAAACTTTCAATTTCCTTAAGAAAATATTGGAAAGTAAAATTTAACTTTGTTTATATAAAAATATTAAAATCTGTTTAGTTTATTGTAAAAAAAATATAACTGAAAATAAGTTTTTTTAAATTTTTTTTAGCTAACTAGAAATATTGATAAATTAATTAACATTTTCCTTTTTTTTATAAAATAAAGAAAAATGAACTTTAGTTTGAATGGTTTAACTTCAATTATGCAATAATTAAATACTTGAAGTTAAAAAAACTTAAAAAAAAAAACAAACTAACTTTTAAATCGTGTACATAATTTATAAAAAATAAGATAAAAACAAAACCTGATTATTGTCAGGTGTCACAGCATCCGCGCGGACTACGTAGAAATTGGTATTTTCCTAAACGTTGCTAATGACAACGTCACGGGAGTCTTGATGTATGTATTTTTGGTATGTATGGCATTAGGTGACGGAGGTATGAAGTGAGCTAAGCCTTAAAACCAGCTGACGACTATCCATATTTTCCTATTTTGCTTTTATCGTCAAATAATTTTTTTCAACGGCTATAAATGTTGATAAAAAGGTCGACTTCGCTATATACACAACTATTTACTTACTTTTTCTTTTTTTTTTTTAAAGTTTGTAGTTTTCAAAAATTTCTTCCTGAAATAAGTAGATTAAGAGAAGATTGTATGACTCCTACGTCTACTAGCCTTTTTTTAATTATTGAATTTTTTTGTTGTTTTTTTTTTTTTTTTTTAAGAAACTCTACGAATTGTGAAAAACAAAAAGGATTTATTTAGAAGTATGGATTTTAATAAGTTAAAATTTAAAAATAAAATTAAAAATTATAAACATGTTAATTTTCGGATGCGATTTTTTTTCTTCAATGGTTTCCGTTTTTTAGTGTTCGCCGTTCAATCATTGGTCATATTTTTTTTAATTTAAACTAAACTTAAAAATCTCTCGTTTCTTATGGCTGTCACTCACTTTTATTTATTTGTTGACATTAAAACTCATTTCGACATGAACTTTATACTCTTCGCATGAAATCGATCGTATTACCTTGTTATTCGATTTGTTTTTTATTTCGAAAAGTTTCTTTTTGCTCTTTTATTCTAATAGACAAACATTTTTAAAAATTATACCTTTCTTTCAATTTTCATTCGTGTACAATTCAATTCAAGACGTCCTTGTATGAGTATCATCAAAATTCAAATGTTTTCTTTTGATTTCACTTGGATATTGTAAAATAAAAATGTTTCGCACATCATCAGATTTTTACAGAAAAATTAAAATCTATTAAAAAACCGTATGAGCTTCTAAGTTAAATTTCCATTCAAAATTTATGTTATACCATTTCATGAGCTTGTTGAAGAGGTGATTTTTTTTTAAATTGATTGATTCTTGGATTCTAAACTCAAACAAACTGTAGTGTAAATAAATAAACAAATTAAAAACTTCAAATTAAAAAAAAAAAAAAAACGAAAAACCTATCTCTGCCCCACCCCCTCGTTCTGGCCACATTAACCAGAAAAGGAGAAAAATTAAAGTCGAAATGTATCTGTTGCTTTTCACATAGACGATCTCAACTTTATTAGTGAAGACAAATTTTATTTCAATAGTCATTTATTTCTTTCTATTTAAAATTATTGAAGTATTATTTGGAAAAACTTAAATTTGGTCAACATTTCAAATTGCGAACGATGATTCATTTTTTTTTTTTTTTTAATAATCCCTAGTTTTCTTTCAATTCAGAAAATACACTTTCTATTTTTAAACTTTTATTTTGTTTAAAAAAAAATGATTAAAACTGTAGATATTTGGATTCCTTAAGTCTTTTATTTTATTTATTTGCTTTTTCTCTTGAAAAATGACTCGATTGGAATGACCTCTTCTTGACAATTCCTTAAATCAGATATCTAAGAAAAACTAACTAAATGCTCAGAAAACACTTGTTGCTTATATACACGGAGACAGCTGCTTTGCATGAAGAAGAATCTCAAATCAGATACAATTTTTGCTCAATGTTCTAAAATGAAAGTTTTCTTTTCATTTATTCAATATTGTACGTAAAAAAAATGCTAAAATAAAAGTATATTTTTGCCTTCTTGATTTTTTTTTCTTAGTAGGTAAAAAAAAACCCCGACACCACAGCGACTCTTCTTAATTTATAAATCAATGGAATCCCCCCCACCTTCAAATTCTAAGTCGAGACCTTTACGCTACAACAGTTGTTCAGTCATCCATGTGCTTTTTTTTTTTTTTTTTTTTTTTTTTTTTACTTTAACTTTAGCTTTCATTATTGGCTGGATGAGGTTAATTATTGCTAAATTTAGTACCTCTTCTTGACTCTTGAGGGTTTTACTTTTTTTTTTATTTCTCTATTAATTCTCTCTACTAGTAGTAATAACTTTCTAACAATTTTTGGGGAGGGGGGTGGCTTTACCGAACGGCAATTGTTTTTCATGAAATTCTTGGATTCTCTCTAAAAGATAAATTTAATAAACAAACAAAAAGTCATCTCGTGAAAACCACTCAACTCAAGCAATGCAAATGTTTTTAAATGTGTGTTATTTTTATTTTTGTTGTATTTACTTATCTAAGCTTTTTTTCCCTTTTTACATTTAAAAAGCGATTCATCATTTCTTTTTTGTTATACAAAAAAAATGAAAAGAAAATTTAAACTTTTTTTTTTTTTTTTTTACGGTGAACTGAAAAGCCAGTTTATTTTATAAAATTCTGTTGCAATTAATGAATGGAATGTATCGGTTTTTAATTCACTTACTCAGTTCGTCTCAAAATGGTTTAAAAATTAAAATAAAAAGCAATCTCTTCTAGTTTTACCTGCTATTTTATCTGTTTTATTTTTTTTTAGTCATATTGTGATTGAATAATGTTGTTTTTAATCGTCTTAGAGAAAAGTTCGTACATTTTACTAAACTTTTAGTAAATGTCAGTCCGGACATTTTGATTTGACTGACCACGACCCATTGCAAAGTTTCATATTTCCCATTTTTAAGTGAAAGATTTTTGAATTTACTAAAACCGACTGTGACTGGTTACAAATTCTTTTATAACGTCTGATCTTGATATTTTTCAAACTTTGTCCTTTAAAAAAAAATATTTTGGCGCCTTTTCTATAATTTATAAACAAACCGACACACGACAGATACATTTTTTGGGGGAAGAACACCCATCCATGCATGTAGATTTTAAGTAAATTGCCCTTATAACTGTGTAGTATTACCTGACAAATACAACATGAATCCCTTTTTAAGTTTTAACTACTCAGTAATCTTTAAAATTTAGAAAAATTTAACTTAAGAAGTAATTTAACATTTCATTGTATTTAGGTACTTTGGCTTACTTACAAAGACGTTGAGGAAATGTTAGAAAATTACCCAAAAATTTTAAATTTGCTATAGTTACCGCTCTTTTTTTCTAATAATGTCAATTGTAGACATCCGTAGTTACAAAAATCGGCACGTTTATACACGCACAAAAATATCCAAAATTCTTTTTAAAATATTGGGTATCGCTGCATTAAGCTTTTCCATTCGTGATGAGTGAATATAGTTTTGACGTAAGTGTTACCTACTTGGGACAAATTAATAGAAAATTTTTAAAAGATAAAAAAAACTATAAATTATCCACATTAAAATTGTTAAAAAATGAAAACAATTTTTGCAAAAATTCATTATTAATCAAAAAACATTTTTTTTTCTTAAGAAAGGGTGTCCACAATATAAAAGTTTTACAAAAAGACTGATGATTTAAATTTTCCAAGGGCTTGTCCTTATAACTAATTAAGCACTACAAAAATGAAGTGTGTGGTGGGTGTATTGGATGAACACGCACAATTATTGTTTCGTGGGTTAGGGAAACCGTAAAATTTGGGTGTTCTCTAGAGTGATAAAAAAAATCATGGGTGTGTACCATGATTTGTTTTTTCATTTATAATTAGTTTCTTGATCTCCTTGTTTAATTTTTGTGTTTCAATAATAATTATCTTCTGTTCATTTATTTTTTCGGATATGTCTGTATCATTGAGTAATTTAATTTTTTTCTACGTCGTCTTGTTCATGGTCACAATCCCACACATACGAAAAAATAAACAAAATAATTACAGAAACATAAAAATTTAACAAAGATCGGGAAACTAATTAAAAATGAAAGAAAATCATGGTGGGGACACGTAGAATATTTAAACCCCACAAAACGGGTATCACCTTGTGCCCCCCTCCCCCAGCACACACACTGGCAAGGCCATGACATACATATTTTACAAAAAAAAAAAAAAACAACAACTAAAAACACATTTCAAAAATAATTTGATTAATTTGTGAAAAACT